CCTGGCATTATATAAAATCACAATGAATATGTGACTCAGGTAAAGGATGATGTCTACAAGGATGAAGGAAATGCCATATTACAGCACGTTAGCCAGTTACAGTTTTAAAATAACTCAGAAGCCAACAAATTTACAAAGGAAATATAATTCCTAAGTTCAGGTATGCATTCCTAATTAGATAAATGGTCCAATCCCACGACTGTTTCACATGAATCTGCCGAGAGGCTGTGATAAGATTTAACTTGTTCTTTACGTTTCAAAACAGAACAATATTCTTGGAGGCAGGGAGTATAAACTTCACAATCTCACTTCCAAAGTCACTAAAACGTCGGCAACCTGATTCAATAACAACTTACATTCACAGAACACCCTTCACGAAGGATAACATTTGAGCATTTCACAGTGGCAAGGTTGGACAATGAGTCTGGGAGACCGGGAAGGTGACCATAGGTCGAAAGGTAGGTTGTAAGTTGGGATGTAAAGACAGAAGAGGCGAGGCCAAGGGACAGGGACTGGGTTCCAGAGATTGGAGTCATAGTGATCGAAAGCATTGGGGGGTATGTAGTAGATCTATGTTAGCTGAGTGAGGGGGCAGGCAAAGGCGTGGCGTACAAGCAGATCAGCGAGTGTGGCATGAAGGACAGTGAGAAATGTGGAGTCCAAAGGACAGTCAACCCAACCTCCAAGGTTATTTACTGGTTGGGTAACTTTGAGAGAAAGTCAATGGACATTGAGGTGGTCGAAGATGAAGGTGAGGAGATGTTGGCAGGGGTGGAAAGAATGGATTCTGTATCATCCATGTTAAACTGCAGAAAGTTAAGTGTTGATTGAGGTGCATAAATGTTCAAACCAAATGAAAGAAATAGGCTAAGCATGCAGGAAGAGCCCACTTTGTGGCCTGTGGTCACTAAAGGATTTTATTGGTAATTTTGTATAAATGAAACAACCATTAAAAAATAGAAAAGTATTTCAGAATTCCAGGAAGATTTCACAACTACATTAAATTGTGCCTTTCAAGTAAAAGACCATAACAAATGGGGGTTGCAATCCCAGGATTTCGAGAGCATTAACATTGGCTTTTCGAATGTATTTTGAAAGCAGGGAGAGAGATAGCAAGCCAAAAGGTTTTTGGAAGAGTACCAGGATAGCGCTCCAAGATGCTATCCTGCACGAAGGGCACTTCATAAATGTTGTTGGTGTTATGCCAGAGGACACAGACATGGCGGCTGAAGGTTTGGTCACCAAATAGTGGATAAAACTGAGTGATAAGTTAGCAAATGAACAGCGAGAAGAGTTGAAAGTATGCAATAAGAATTGACGACTGGAGAATTGGTAATGTGGGGTGTGAGAGTAGAGAGATTCGAATAACAAGATTGCAAAAACCAATTTGAAAGTTTAATGTGTGCTGTATCCTACATCACACTGTAAATATGACATTTCACAGTACATTTGATGAACTTGCATCTAGTTCAACAGGATAAGAGGATTTATTATTTTAGAAGTGGTTTTGGAGAAGACAATTCCCTCTGAAGAATTCAAGCTTTCAACCATTTGTAATTTGCAATTTTGCAACACAATACTAAACAAACTGTTGCGCAATCTGCCAACAAAAGAAATAATGAAATAGACTGAACTGTTCAACACGTTAACATTCAGTCAAGTTCAGCCCTACTAGCTCAAGTAATTCTTCCCACAGAGAGAGAAAATGTTCACTATGAAGTTTCAATCATTACCAAAAATATGCTGCTTAAAAAGGTTGAACTGACAAAATAAATGAAAACTATAACCTGGGATACAATGATGTTAGGTTGTGACCCTCACGAAGATGATAACTGGAATGCTGACTGTCTGAACAAACAAGTTTACTATCATTAAATCAAAACAAAAGTTTATCATAATGAGTTCAAGTAAAAAGGATCTTGCATTAAATTGGATGTTATCAGTCATAAATTTAGCCGCATTCCATGCTTTAGTACAAACTGCTCTTTACCAGTTTACGCTTCAAAAATACATAAAACAATTCACCAGAATCTGGCAACTGTGCAGTTAGAAATACAACTACGGTATACAAGAAATCAGCATAAACTAGCTCCATGCTAACATGCAAGAAAACAAGACATTATTTGACTTCCGTATCATTGCTGCTTTCCAATAAAAAACTGTATTCTCAGCTAGAGGTTATTACAAATTTGGCAGCTGAGGAATGCTTCCACTCCTATGCCACAGTTTCAATAGGCTGTCATTTTAGGAATGCACGTTGCAAAGCATGACAGGTTGGAATGTATCCACCCATCTGATATCATCAGAACAGGCACCTCACACTACACACTAAATTACAAGGCCTTACACTACAAGCCTTGGTTGAATTAAAAAGAGAACAATTACAGATCAATGTGGACAGATCTATTACGCAAGTTTACACCTTTGCATTTTAAGCTCACTTTTTTGCTAAGAGAACCAGATTTGTTATTTCACAGATGTCACCATCTAATCGTAGAAGCTTTGTAACAATCAATGAGGATTACTAAGGGGAAAAGTTTGATAGTAAATAAATGCACTTTACAACAACAACAAAATTACATTTATAGAGCGCCTTTCACGTCAGGAGAATGTCCCAAAGCACTGAACAGTCAGGCGTCGGGGCCCGAGCATGAGGGAGGGGTGGTGTAGGGGTGAGGGAGGCAGAGAGGAGGGAGGGAGACCAAAGGCACGGTCAAAGAGAAGGGTCTTGAGACCGGCCTTGAAGGAGGCAAGGGAGACGCGAGGCGAAGGGACCGTGGGATGGAGTTCCAGAGTGTGGGGGCAGAGAGGCTGAAAGCCCAGCCACCGATGGTAGGGCGGGTCGGGGGGGAGACATGGAGCAGGCCGGAGCCCAATGAACGGAGGGAGCTTTATTATTACAACATTATTACAACATTGGAGCTTTATTATACGGTAAAGTTATCTCTCTGAAATCACAAGGACCACTTATCTGTAGTCTTGACACACATTTAAAATTTAAGTTTTATTACGCTAACCTAACCTATTAACCTTGTTATCCAATTTTTTGACCAATGTGAACTGTAGCTTATATGACGAACATGATCCAGAGTTATCTTATTCAGTCAATTCTAATTGGCTGGCTCCGGCCTCTTGCTTGTCCCTTATCCCTTTTGCTCCCCCATCGGGGGTCTTGCTTTCAGGCACTACTCCCTGATATTTTGGAACTCTCTCTCAATCCCACCCTTGTCTCCTCCTTCATCTTTTGCAGGTCATGTTGAAGACCTTACTTCCCCCACCCCCGACTTGGCATCAGGGTCCGCCACTGTTAACCGCTCCGAGATCCTACCTCACGTGAAGGGCACTATTTTAAGGCAAGTTGTTGTTCGGAGTGCATAAATTGTGAGTATTTTTTTCAAAAGATTTTGAGAATCATGCAGCGAGTATATCAATCCTTTATGAACCTCATATGGAGATTACGCACACAACCAGATATCATGACAATGACAGCTGTAGTAAGACAAAATCCATACACACACATATACACACACACACATATATATATATATACACACAGACATATATAACACTGGAATAATAACACACATCTTACAAAGATCACAAAACTATAAATTAATCTCAAAGCTCGTCACCTGAGCTCCTCAATCAAAACTAATGCTCTGCAATTTATGAAATGCATACTTATTTCTCTGTTTACTCATTTTCTTTCGCCAAAAAATTGTTTACGGAGACTAACAGTATAAATATTTATTTGGGGCATCCCTTAAAATAGGCATTACGACGTGTAAACCGGCATCACACGTTTTCATTTAATTGGTGGAAATCTGTACCTAACGTAACTGGTAAACCAGGGCATTCATAACAAATCCACAGGAAGGCACAGAAAAGATGCTGAGGGATCTGCCGCAGTTTTTTTTCCCCCCCAAAAAAAGGGGGGGATTTTAACCGTATCAGCAACGACGCAATTTTCAATCAGTCCAAAGCTTTTAATCTAATACTCTTCACCTTAAGCCTCAACGGGAGACACCAAACCCCCAAACAACCCGACGAAACGAAGCACAAATGTGGACAGATCGAGTTAAGATGGAGTTAAGATAGAGATCGTCCGCCACACAAACACACACCTCGAAATCGAAAGAGCAGGCGGTGGGGTGGGTGGGGGGGTATTTTGTACGATTGCAACAGCTAACGATAGAAATAGGAACAGAAACGAGCTTCCTCCTCGCATCACTGTCGTGTGTGGGTCCTGGGCTGCGGGGGAGCCGAAAGTTAAGAGAAACCTAACTGACAGCGGTCAAGCAGCCCGACCCCAACCCCAGCCCCGGCTCCACCCCAACCCCGACCCCAGCCCCGGCTCCACCCCAACCCCGACCCCAACCCCGGCTCCACCCCAACCCCGACCCCAACCCCGGCTCCACCCCAACCCCGACCCCAACCCCGACCCCAGCCCCGGCTCCAACCCAACCCCACCCCTACCCCAACCCCACCTCAGCCCCCTACCCCCTACCCCAGCCCCAACACCAGTCCCAGCCCGGCCCTAGAGAGAACTTCATATCCCCAACTCCGGCCTCGGGCTGCCATCAGTTCCCGACTCACAGCAGCACAACACACACAACAGGTAGAAACACCCCACCATCAGTTGGGAGCGGAGGAAGAGAGAGAGACAGAGAGGGAGGGAGGGAGGAATGAGCAGTTGGGCGCTGCTGCTGCTTTGGGGACACTCAGTATTCGAGCCCAGACACCGCCGAGAGCAGCGGCCGAAGAAGACCCAACGGTTCTCCCCCGCGGCCCCTCTCTCCAACCTTCCACACAACAAAACATATCGGGAAGGAAGGAAGGAGGAGGGAGGGGGGAGAGGGGATAAAAGGGTCGTGACCGGAGCTGCCCGCGGCCTGGGCGGCCTCTCTCTGTACATGGGGCCTGGGCCGGTGAGGCGGCGGGGGGGTGGGCGGGGGCAGTGGGAGCGAGAGGGGCGCGGGGCCGGCGGCGCTGGTACCGACCTGATGGAGGGCGGTCAGCCCGTCCACATTGGCGTAGTTGATGTCAGAGCCTCGATCCAGCAGCTTCTTGACCTCGTCCGTGTCGCCGCTGGAGCAGGCGGCCAGGAACACGGCGCCATTGTCGAACTTGACTTTGGTCTTCTTCTTCTTGAAGACGGGCGACTCGAGCTCGGTCTCCGACCCGAGCCACCGCTTCAGCTGCTCGTTCCTCTTCTGTTTGGCGTCCGCCATCTTCTGCCCCCCTCAGCTCGGTGGCTCCTCACCCCAGAGAGCGGGGAGCCATAGCGCCGCTCATCTGCATAACGTCGCGAGATCAGCCTCCGTCTCCCTCCCCCCCCTCCCCCCACCCCCCGCGGGCACAAACGCAAGTACGTACCGCACAGACGTACGCACGTACGTACGTAATGCGCGCACAGCGTGGGAGGGGGTGGTGGGGGGGAAAGGGTGTGACGTGTTACGCAGCTGAGATTGCCTGGAGCTGGAGCATTCATTGAATGAATGGGCAGAGGGAGAGGGAGAGGGAGGGATAGTTTGGGGAGTGGGGATTACGGAGGAGCTGAGTTGGAAGAGTCCTGCTCCCGGCCCGCGCTTTGCCCCCCACCTCGCCCGTCTCCGCGTCACATCTCGAAGACCTTCGACCGAAAATGCCAGTGGCCGCCCTGGCGCGCCATCGGGTTCCGCCACGTTTAAGCGCTCCCGTGCGCGACCACGTGTGTAGGTGCCACGTGAGTGCAAGTTCTTGGTGGTGTCCTACTTACCGACCAAGCTGTCCGGTGGTCAGTCGTCAGCGGTGCCCTGGGAGTATACTCCAGACCCCACTTGGCTCAGGAACTGGATTACTGCGACCGCCACAGAAGGTTGATTCGTTTCGAGAGGAGTTTCTCTACACCCCACCATCATCAACTATTAATTTTTTTTGGGTCTGACACCTGTTTATTGGTCTGACAGCCTGTTCCACCATTCTATAAGATTGTGGCCGATCTGTACCTCAACTCCAATTACCCGCCCTTGCCCCATATCTCTTGATACCCTTAACTTCACAGAAATAGCCTTGCCTTTTCCCAACCTATACCTAATACTCTCTGGACTTGTAAAGCACGGTGGGTCCTTACAGGGAGAGAGTAAGCATTCCATTACAGACACATTTCCATATCTAGGTGGAGTACACATATGAAAGCTTTGGAATACTCATAGTGATGGGTTGCTGCATCAGACATCCGGTAAACCACACAAAAATGAATGGATAATGGTGACGGGATGCGGATGGGGTGGTTGTGCAAGATTCCTTTCATCCCACTCCTTGAACAGATAACTAGGGTTGCCACACTTTCCAAAAGAAAGTCAAACAGTGGATTGTATAGTATTAGGGTTTTGTGAAATCAATGAAGGGCATTCATTTGAAAAAAATTATAGCCGCAACAATAATTTAAAAAATTATATTATAATTTGGTTTACATTTCCAAGGAGACGATTAAATAATGAAACAGACGGTCTAGTCCGAAAGTCAATAGTTGGCAGCCCCAAAGGGCTAATATACCTTTACACGTCAATTTGTATTGTGTAAACAGGGGCAGTGACATCTTACACATGTGCATTGAGTGTTCTGACAAGACCGTACATGCTTAAGTATGTCATGTGGTTGGAGCGGATGGTTGACTGCAGGCAAATGGGCTTTACTGACAGAACCTTATATGCAACGCATATGTATGCTTGTTGTTTTAAACAATGTTCTGCAATGGAAATAAATTGTTAACAATTTTTTTTACAATACCGAAGGTAAAAATTTGGGAAACAAATGGATCAAAACATGTCTAAAATGGATTAAAACATGTCTAATAAAAGGGAACTTGGAATGATTCAGAGGATGAAGAAAGGCCGTGTAATGATTCAATAGAGGAGCCACCTCTGTCCATTGCCAGTACAGGAACAAAGAGTTAATGTAGCCTTCATAATTTTATACAGGCAACAAATGTGTTTGTCATTTTACTTCTGTTTTGTGTCATCCTTATGGAAATTTTTTTTTAAATAAACATTGACGAAAAGGAGAAAAAATCAAATTCCACCCAACTCCAGTAATATGTATCATTGTATTTGGTGTGTTTATTCTGCCTGGGAATTTTCTTTCTAAAAAGACAACTAAAGATTAACAGTTACAATAATACAGTACAATTTACATCTATATAGTGCCTTTCATGTCGGGAGGACATCTCAAAGCACTTCATTATGCTGGAAGGGCACCCGAGCTGAGGGATGGGAGGGGGAAAGATGCCCAAGAGCATGGTCAAAGAGATTAATGGATAAAAGTGGTTTTGAAACCAGTTTATGCATGACGTGGGAGTGGGTCAGATTAAACCATAAAAGAAATTGAAAGCTCTGGCAGTTTATTAAAAGAGGCATCTTTATACTTTCTGTGCTAGTACTCTTTCATTTGTATTATTTATAAAAAAATAAACAAGATATCTCATACTTGTCTTAGTTGTAATAGTATGTTTTGCCTGCAAGGGAGAATAAACTATTTTGGAGCTCTGTTCACATCATGAACCACCCCACTAATGTATATTACAATCTTCTTTCCTGGCATGAAAAGCTGCAATTCAGCCTCCAGACTGATATGGAGGGATGGTTCCCATTGAAATTGATTGAATGGAGTAGCTCCACATAGTGTAATGGTATTCCTTGTAATACACTTCACAGAAACAGTTCACTGTAGCAGGTCATAGTGACAGGAAATTTGCTTAATTTAAAAACTGCAATATCTCTTAATAGGTAGGAGAGGTATTTGTTCATTTTAATTAATATATGGGAAAATACTGTAATACAAAATGCTCACCCACACTTCTTTTCCTTTCAGGTTATTTCAATCCCTATGTTGCGTTATATTTTCAAAAGTATAACATAAAAAATATTGTTGTTCTTCCCATTGTGCAAGGTGCAATATAAATGTAATTTATTTTTTGTTGTTGTTGCTTATTTCACTAACCATGGGTTTCATTAGCCTGTCATCTATACGTTTTCTAATATGTGCAATATATTTCATCACATTAACATATCATGGCTTATCCCCCATATAGGTTCATGGTACAGTGTTGTACAATACAAATGTTTTTTAATTGTGAAAAATATATAACTTGAAATAATTGTGCAATTTTGAGGAATGACAAATTACCAGTCATATTTAGTATAAACATTTGATTTGTCTAACTAAGTAGCATACCTTATTTTTTGTGTGATTTTAAATTATGAGCACCTTTCCTAAGATATTTTGTGTCCTACTGACCCCAATCAAACCAGCCTCCACTCTGATGTGTTGCATTACTTGCACATTCAGTAATAAGCCTTTCACGTACCTTTATGACTTACTGGTTGGAAAATGGGTTGGGCTAAAGATTAGAGTAGAAGCAGCCACAACCTATTCAGTTGCCAGCTTCCGGTAAACATTGTGGGTGTGATGGAGATCAGCAATTCTTATCTTATTTTAAACAGTTTTTTTTTAAATGATTTTTATAAATATGTTTTAGGTTGGTAGTGGCAGGTATTTCAATTACAGCAGTGAAACCAAGAGAAATTAAATAAGTGAAGTGCATTGACTATATTTGTATGTAAACTACCATTCTATATTGAATATTATTTTAATATAGTCTATGTGTAAATACTCTTGAATTACCTGTATAATATCTATGATATCTTCTCCTTTGGATGCAACAAGAATGAATTATTCCTGCAGAGCAGATGTGATATAAATTACTGAGGCAATACCAAAAAAGGCAAACGGCAGCTTGAAAGCAGTTTCCTAAAGTGAAGGTCACACTTTGTCTTAAGTTCATTTGGAAATGTATTAATCAATTAACTGTTACATGTATAACTAAATTATTTTAAATATTGTGAATTATATTTGCAAAATAAACTGCAATACAATGTGTCTGAAAATTAAAATGTTACATTATTACATTAATGTTTAATTAGTCACTTTTATTTAGCTAATATTTGTTTGACTAGCTAACACATTTTCATTATTTATTTTCAGCAATGATAATAATCCTTGTATTTGATATAGCGCCTTATCATGTTGTCAAGATAAAGCGCTTCACAGGATTTTGTTGTGCATTGTAGCAGCCGATTTGCACACAGCAGTGTAACACAAACAGCCATGAATCTGATTGATCATTTTGTTTTATTTTGGAGGATTGTTAGTCAGGACACTGGAAGGAAATCCCTTCTCTTTTTGAAAAGTGCCACGGGATCTTTCATTTTAGGCTCCCTATCCTCCCTATTATCTTTAAAATCTTTATCCTCACCTTCAAGTGCTTGCACAGCCTTACTCACTGTATTTCTGTGATCTCTTGCAACCCTACTCTTCTAGCCACTCCCTATGCTCCACCAACTTCCACTCCACAATCAGTAAGTGAGCTTTCAATCACTTTGCCCTAACTTCTCGAAATGTCTTCTGAAATTCCTCCATCTCACTCTCTCCCGGTTTGCTTTCCAAACCTGTCAAGTTTTTCTTTGTCTTCAACTTCAGCCATCCAGCATACTGTCCTCCCAATCTCCCTCCTAGTCCTGACTCCTGCACCATCTTTGTAAAACATTTTTTCTGTATGAATCATATAAATGCAAATTGTTATTGTTATTAAGCAGCAACATTCCAATTCATATGTACTTTAAACAGATTTTCGTACCTTGGTTTAAATACTAATAATTAAGTTTATTCCTATCTTCTAACTATATAAAATCCCTTTAATTCAACTGCATTGTTGTATCCTAGTAATGAACAATAGTGAGGCAAGGCAAGTAACTCACCGTTGTTCTCTTGGACAGTATCACTGCTAAAAATGCTGTCTTTTGTACATTGAAGGTTATCACCAAAATTAACCCCATCTTCTGAAGCAAGATTGCTGAAGAATGAGTTTAGCCACAAGAAGGCTTTAAGCTTGCCCCTTAGCATCCAGCACAAATTCTCCAGAATATTTTTACTCTTAGCACTGCCAGGATCAATATCCTGATGCACTTGTCATGAGACATTGCCATCTCTTTTTTATGTCACTTAATGTACAAAAATAAACCACCTCCTGGCAGCTAGACAGAATTGCATTGGCAGAGGCATGAGAGCAGATTGATTGCCTGTACCAGGTTTTATGGTAGTTCAACTACCAAACAGTGATATATAAGAAAATAGTCATTAATTCCATAATACTCAATGAAGATTTAGTTGTAGATGATATGTATGCACTATGGTTAGTTTGAACATGCACCAGTAAACCATTTGACCAATGCAATAGCAGCAATTGTATATTCCAGCTTTACAGTAGAAGATTGTGACATTACTTCCAGC